GCTGTGATACAAACAGATTAGACAAGATGCGATGAAGTAAGGCCTCTTTAGGTTGGGCATAGTTGGGCTACTTTCATGGAAGTAAGCACTGGCATTTTGTAATAAACAGTAACAAAATGCTTGTTTTCCCTGTTTCCATCTTAACAGACGACAGAGGTATGTTTGTTGTTTGACTTGAATGGTCTGATGTGTAGAGGTCCAAGGTTTTTTTATTGAGTTCTTTATGCTTGTTGAATTTTCTGTTGTTATTTTGTTGTTGAATTCCTTTGCTTTGTTTTGTGTTTAAAAATTTTGGAAGGCAAGTGCAAAGTGCAGCATCAAATTCTTGGTGTTACATAATTGTGTATGCTTGTTACACTGTCATGAAATTACTATGCTTAAATGTATTCTGTTCCACCGCAATAGCCTGAGATGTTTAAAAACAAAACCGTTTCGTCAGGTTTATGATATTACGTCCACGCCAATTTGATATATATGTCTGTTTTCCGAAGCATGAGTCACTAGCTCATAAGTTCCACTTTTTGTTAATTGAATTTTTCGCTCCCGCACGGTCTTTTGCGATGAAATTTTTCACTCCCACCCTAGTTCAAAAGCGATTCTTGCTCACTAGTTTTCTACTTCTGATCAAAACAGTATGGCCGCTGATACACTCGCAAAAGAGATGATGCGGCACACATGATGCTATGCACGGAAGGTGATTGGCTGTTAGTAAGATTTTGCTGCTGAGTGCGTGTCGCGAACGTAAGCTTGAGCACTTTCGGGTTGTGCGGCACTCGTCGTGAACGGGGCATATTTCCTTATTTCTAGGCCATAGGTCGATTTTATAAAAAAAAGAACGCGACAATCTCCAAAAAAGTATGGCACCGAAAAAACGTCACTTCCGAAAATCTGATAAAAAGAAGATGCGACGGCAAATCTGACTACATTTTCCTGCTGGCGTTTTTTTCTTCTTTTGCAGACCTATTTCTGACAGGCAGCTCGGTTGGCGCCTTGTGCATCGGGGCAAAGCCTTCAAGTACAGCCTCTTGAGCTGCATTACTATGAATTCCCGTTGGGACTGTGTTTTGAAGGCAGCTTACACTGAAATGCGGTAAAAGAACCGATAACCAGTGTAGAAATTTGAGAGAAAACCTGCAATTTGATAGTCCCGCGGGCTGTGCAAGTGTCGGACCGCACTTACCTGACAAAAGAGTGTGAATCAGGAGTTAGAAATGGGTGTGATCTCTGTTGGTGCGTGCCAGTGGCTTGCATTGATCTTGATGTGGTGGGGTGTGTGCGTGCGAGGTTTGTAATTCTTAGAGAGAGAACATTATTTTGGTATTCTTTAAGTCTACTCACTCCCAACAAAATTTGATTATCAATATGTACCTCTATCTTTATGTTTGTGACGAAACATGTCAAGGTAGTGACGCCTGCAAACTGAACATAAAACACTAGCACCTATGTTACAGTGGTGTACAAAGGCAATTTGCTACTTCATTGTGATCTTGCCAACATTTGGAACCTATTGAGGTATTACAGCATGTAAATAATCCATTGCATGCCATTATATTACCAATTCATTTTGGCAGTAGGGGCTAGTCTGCGCGGCTCATTAATGCACATGCTTGGTATAAGCTCACATGACATGGCTTTGCAACATTGCCTTTCCCTTAAAAGTTGTGAAAATATGGCGCTGTATTAAGAAACACTGAATAAAGATATAAGATATAAGATGCGCATACTACCAGCTTTATAAATTTTGTGGCAGGCAAGCACTACTTGTGAGTCATCAATGTCGTAGTCACTGCAACTTGTGTGAGATGTTGGAATGCTGAGAAAGGTGGAAAAGTATTGCTGTTTGTCTCTTAGATATGACTTGATAATATTTTACCATGAGTCTTGTGTGCATTGGCAGCTTCATCGCCTCCTTGCATTTTGCCCATCTAACCTAAAATATATGTGCTTGTCATGTCCCTAGCCTTGTGCAAGGTCAGCAGGTTTGGTATGTCATTTCACTACGTGTGATATTTTCTCATTATCTTTGAGAATAGCGGCCTGTTGGGTGCAACATGTTGCAGGGCTGTGGAAGCGGACAACGTGTTTGCATCCTACGTTTTGTCACCTACGTTTTGTGGATTCCCAAAACAGGCTGAGGAAATTATGTCACTTATTGGTTGTGTGCTTTGCTGAACACCATCTGTACAATGCATCATGCCTTTTTGGTCAATCATATGTCAGATGTGGAGTTAATACAAGAGTGCACGCTTGACCGACAACCCGCGCACCGCACGAATGACGGGGCCCTACTAGAAGTGAACAGCATGGAGGTCTGTGAGGTGGGTTTCGGAAGTGAGACACAGCGTTGTAATCCATGCTGCAGCAAGAGGACATCAGCGTTCAAAGCAACAGACTGAAGATTCGCGCTATCAACGGGCGATTTGCCCGAATGTCGGTCACTTGTAAACAAGCCTGTCCACAGAGAACTTGCGATTAGTTCCCTGTCTTGGAAAGGGAGTCATGGTTCCATTGGCCCCATGCACTAGGCCCGTCAATGTACTCAAAATCCATCGGAGGTCCTTCGATACCTGTCTTGTTTGTCGCGGGGGATATGGCGAAAACCTGTCAGAAGTACGCAGGTCCCTGATGTGATTTCACTTTTGTCGTTGCATAGCACATGGGTTGTTAAATGCAGCATCCAAACCGCGGGAAGTGCGAACAGTAGGACATAACTATTGTGAACTGCGACTCATAGGGTAGAACGGCTTGATGCCTAGCGTTAAGTCAAAACGCCGCTCCTCGGCTTCGGTACTAAAGGTGTGCAGTGCGATACGCCGGCTGACAGAGCGGGCTGGGCTGAGCCCAAAACCTATTTAAAGCACCGTACATTACCCATAGGACTGACAATCCTGGGGCCTCAGAATTGCATTAAGCCCAAATTCCCACGTTAGAAGCTCTCAGAATATTGGGATCTCCACGCCGTTTTTTCATTCAAGAGCCAGGTTTAAAAAGCGTCGCTGGTAGTATATGGAAAGCAGCAAAGAAGCTTATGATGTTGAGCACGTAAAAATGGAGAAATCGTGCACTTCATGTCCAAAATTCGTATTGTAACTTGTGAATCCACGCAAAAGCCAGCTGCGTTTCTTGAGTATGAATCGTACTCGGCATCGTTTCATACCGCGTCAGCTCCCTGCTCGAGTTCGTCTCTGGCGCGCCGTCCCTCACGCACGCGACGCAGCAGGTTATGTTACCCGGGGACATGCGACACCGACTATCGGGGCGGAGCAGGCCGAGTTCGCGTCTGGGAGCGAGCATGTCCTGTGGCGTCTCGTGGTTGAGTGACCCATGAGGCAGACTGTGCATGTTGGGGCATCCTCAGCGAATGTGCGCCTTTTTGAGAAGCCAACGCTTCTAAACATATTTAATTTTGAGGAGATGAAAGCGAGCGCAGTGTGGAACACTTTCTAAGAAGTCATGGCGGCAATACAGCGAAGCGTCGTGTCTGTAAAAAGCTGCTGAAAATACCGGGAGGTTCCATCAAAGCACTTGACGTCCACCTCAACAGTAAGCATGGTGGTATGAGTGTGGCTGGACCATCCTGGTGCAGGAGGGCACATCACGACGGTAACAATTAGGGCGCCGGCTCCGCGCCTTCGGCAGCGGCTCTTAAAGGATTTCGGACCTTCGATTGCATTACCTTTCTAAAACGGACGACGACCTGGATGTTATCCCAGGTAGAACGGACGCTCAGCACTTAATAGTCCTGCGTTGGCTGGGAATACATAACCAAGATGGCCGTCGGTTACTGAACTTTGTAGGACTTCCATTGCCCTCGTCGGCATGAACCACATGTGACCATACAGCGCAGTGTTGACGGGGAACAAGAACACTCCCAAGCGCAGTGTTGGTGTTATTGGCGCCTCGTCCATGGCCCCGACGCCACTCACAATGCATGAGAGCAGGCATCATTGAGAGGTGCCCACAGGGCTGTCCATGTGACTTGTGACAGTGTCAGCCAAGAGCAACGATTTTGCCATATCGTGTCCTACGTGTTGTATTTATTCGTAGGCCTGGACAACGACAGTTTTGGAGATGAAGGCTTTCCAAGGTTAAGAGTACGTGGCATCCGATTCCACTAAGTGTAGTAATAATGTCGCCCTTCAAAGCTGATTATATATGCAACAGGATCATACGTTGGCAACATGTTGAGCACAAAGGATGAAATTAACTGAAAAACTGGGTTACTGGAAGGTTCGAACCCGCGCCCTACCGGAAAGGATAATGTCCATGTCCAATGCCCGCCATGTCCAAGGACCACAATAGGAGAATTTCGGAAGCAGAAAGGAGAAAACTGTTCTCATGGCATGTGAAACGTGTGGATTGCATTACTTTATGTCGCATGCAAGTATATCAACTCAAGTTTCAAAAGAACCCACGACATGAAAAGGCAAAAGCACCGCCCCCGGGTGGGCTCGAACCACCAACCTTTCGGTTAACAGCCGAACGCGCTAACCAATTGCGCCACGGAGGCAGCTGCTTCCCGGCACTTGAAATGTGATCCAATTGCAGAGCGCAGCCGAAGTTATACCACCACCCCCACAAACGCTCCTTTTTTCTTAGGCGACACTATTGCCTCTGGTTTTGAGTAATAACATGTAATTTCCTAACAGTCATAAACCATAATAGCCCTACTTAATAAACCCTGCTTCGCTTCGCGGCGGGAGACCCGAGAAGGCGTGGCTCTAAAGCGTCGCCAGGCGGTAGTACCCTATGCCCCGCCCGCAAGTGGTTACATAGCGTCATTTTTTGGCATTCTTTTGAACACTGCCCACCACGTCGCATAAAGAATCATCGACGATATTCAAATCCCCCTTGCGCTAAGTTCTGGCCACGCCACTGGCTAAAACGTGCCGTCTTGAGTGTCCAAGTGGAATGACTCATTCATGGATCCAGTCACGGAGCAGAGCACCCATCAACGTCAACATCATCAACAGGCAACCTTACATAACACGCCAACTTACGGTAGACGACGAATGCATGGGGAAGTTGGCGACGTTGGTGATGAAGGAGATGTGGTCACTTGGATGCCAGTCCAGCGAATACGCAACCACGTCGAACTTCACAGTTTCCAGCAGTAAGTTGATCACCGGGATGACCTACAGGAGCGCACGCGTCATCAGGTGCCACGTCACCATGCGCTTCCGTGGGGCGACGAATAACGGCTGACACGCCAGTCGCTATACCGCCCTTTTCATGAACATGCTATTTGAAATGCGACGGAGCGGCAGATGAAATGCAAATTGTTTTGTTTCAAAGAGGAAGAAGACGACGGAGAAGAGCATATTACCTTTATGCATGGACACCATAAACAGCCGTTGACGATCAATGTCATGTACGCTTACCCGATGGGCTACCATTCTAGAGTCCTGGGATATTCGTGTTCGGGACCATGCCCTTTGAGGTCTGTTTTATGCACGTCTAGACTTAGGCCACTTGACGTCCACTGGGACCATGTCGAAAACGAGGTCCCGTACTCAGCGCGCCACGACTGACGTGATTCGAGCGGACTGTTCCAAACGCGGTCCCCCCGGGAAAGGTCACATGTGTTAGTCCTGTACCGAAGCCCGCGTCTCGCAGACATTCCCGACGCTCCTGACCGTCGGTGGGACAGAGTCGGTGGGAGTGCTTTGGTGTTTCTAGGGCGTGGTCTGGCTAATTCATAACATGTGTCCATACAGGTTCGCGGGCCTTGGTTGAAAATGATGTGAAAAATATAGATTTTTGCCATAAATCAGTTCCCACGTAAAGCCCCTGTATCGTGTTGTAGTATTCAATTGGAAAGCTATTGCGTCATTGATGATTTCCGAACTTTAGATCGTGCTTGTAAATTAATCTTACCGAAAAGACTTGTCAATGAATCTTAATGAAGCTACTAACAACGGTTCCTAGCTATAAACGACATCTAATTCCTCTCAAGGATATGTAGAGGCTTGATGCTTACCAACGGAATGAGAATGAGCCAAATCTATTCAGCATCATGCGGTCCCATCTTAACTCTAGGGCGACCGATCCATCCAAAAAGATTGAAATGCATGAACATGAGATCGACTTAAATTCCCTTCCGCGGCATTATTTGATACAGGCCGTTCGCAACCCCACTTCAATCAATGATCTGCGGCGAGAGCGCCGCACCAAAACGGCCCCGACCGCTGACCTTGAGTTTTCATACCCCGCGGCGGAGACTGCCCCGTCATAAGCCTATGAACCCGATCAAAGTCCTCACCATTTTAACAAAACAACTCGGACCGAACTGAGCGCGGCACGCCAGCCGTCGGCGCGTGCACGCCCCGGCCCGATCCATTCCACCTGGCCAGACCCCGAATTAAAGCCAGCGCCACCCAAAGGAGCTGCACAATTTTAATCCGATTGACAGGCTTCTGAGGTAAAGAACGATCGGATGCAACGTGAAGTTTGTTGGTACCGGTTTCGTATTTGTTTAAACTCCATCCTTGCTCCCACGAAGAATAGTTGTCGACCAAAGAAGACCACTTCAAATTTTCAATGACCGCCGAGGGGGAATTCTCGCAAAGCACAACGCCATAATGATCGCGGTGATAACGTGATCGGATGTTAAGTTTGAAACTTGCCAACTGAATATCAACCACTAAATCAACCAAAAGCAGTGCAACCAGGAATCGCATAATACCATCAAGAAATAAGTTCCAGCTTTGACTTGCATTTTCTTGGAAAAATTTCGCAGTTTTTCAACCCGTGGCCGACGTTTCAATGAAGCCTGCGTGCCTGTCTGACCCAGATCAAAAGCGGTCCCGGTCACAGCCATCGACCATTACAACTGCACCGGGTTGTCAGCCGTTGGCGGAACCCACCTCGTCGCCTTTCTGCCCGGCCGGACAGTTACAGACTGCCAGAGAGCCCGATATGAAGTCGTTCTGCACGTCCACGATCACCAGCGCCGTCACCGGTCGCACGATCTAAGAATCAGCCGCCGCACGGTCATCAGCGTCACATTACCACCATCAGCGGGATCACCAGGGGAATCACCAGCACCGCCACGAGCGCATGTGGTGAAACGTGCGCAACGAGGTCCGATCAGCCAGGGGTGCAATACGCGTCGCAAACAAGACAACAGCAATTTCACGTCGATTTGAAGGTGCCGCCCGTTTAAAGCCAGCAAAGGGCTCACAGCAACGACCAAGAACAACGCCAGCACCGTTCAGCAAGAATTTCGCTCGCCAGAGCAAATTGCCATGATAGACATGCTGAGAGTGCATATGAATCATATGAGGGGTGATGCCAAGCAGTGAACATATCTCATATTAACGCCAGGCTAGCAAAACACAACTTAGTGCATGCTTCGAGAAGCATGGCTTCGGTCAACTGAAAAATTCGTACAAATTCATACGTGGGGATTGATACCCACATCATGTCTGGAATGAAATCCCTCAAATTTATCATCGCTTTGTGGCCAGCATTTCTCGCTTCAGGCTCCTCGTCAAACCAACGGCCTCCTATCAAAGCAATCAAGGAAGCTCAGTACGCCCTGGACACTGGATAAATATAAACTCGAGGGCTGCGGTTTGGCATACCATAGGATAATCCCTGCCATGTCCGATTTCTCGGGCTGCTTCATCAGCATGCGCGAGGCGACCACGGTTGACATTGTTGACGGCCCTGCGAGCGAGTCCAAGAGGGAGGGCTCTTCCAACGTGTGTAGTGTGCGGGCAGAGCGCGTGGGACAAACCCAGAGCTAGACAGGCCTGTGCAGCCGTGTGTGAAATGGCTCGGCGTGGATGTAGAGTACTGATCCGTCTGAGATGAATACTGCTCAAATGGCGGTGACCTAGTGACCGCGGACGGTGCTGGGCCTCCACCAACCGCCGACGGGGTTATCGCGGGATTACTGGATCGAATAGACCGGGCTTCTCGGATGCCTGTCACAGCCCGCCAGCTGTTGCTTCGAGACGACGGGTACCAACTTGTAATGTACTTACGTGTCCAAAGCATCCGCCTAAAAACGGAATTCTGTGCCTGCCGTGAGTTCCACTCACTGTGCTTCAGCGTGTTCTCGTAATTTAGAAAAGCCTGAGTTGAAGATTGCCGGCTGCTTGGCCGGCGATCACGTGACCAGTTAATGTACGGCATGAACAATGTTGTTAACATAAACAACGTTAATGAAGTTACACGACAGTCTCGAGTCGTGCACCAAGCAAGTCACGTGTTCGGCCTAGAGTTACGAGTTGGCATGAATTAGGGCCACATAAATAGTTCTTAGTTTAATCGATAGAAGATACGCCGTCTCCTGCCTCCCCGGCCGTACCGTCTGCTCCGCTATATGACTGCAGAGCGTTACCTTCATTGTGTTCCAGAGCGTTAGCTTATTGTGTTCCTCATTGGAAATGAGCGTCACGTAGTGGTACTCGCGAAGGTAACGTATTTTTGGTACACATATTGGTTACGTAAAACCTAATTTTTCGTTGCTCTGAAAAACCGTGATGTTCCGTTGTTCTGAACTCGTTGATGATAAAAATACTTTTGGGCTTGTAAACGCCAGGTACCGTGGCGTTTTTACTACATACCGTGGTAATCCATTCGCTCCAACACCTCTGGAACTCATCCTTGTCGATAAAGCCGTCCTGAGAAAATGCAATTACGTTAGGTTCCTCCACGTCTGCGCAGTCATTTCAACAACACGCCACTAACATAAGAATAAGTGTTCATTTCCGATGAAAATGTTATCTATCCTGAATACTCCACGATAGTGCATGCGATGTAAAGGCTGAGTGGGTTCAAACTAGAGTTCAGTCCCACTCATAAGCTCGCTAAGATTGGGGCCTCCTGGACCCAGACAGCGTCGGATCCTGTTCACCTCGTTGGTGTCGAAGACGCTGAACATGTGAGCCAGCTTCTTGGTCTCCAGCGGGTACGGCTCGCCGGCCTCGCTCCGGAACAGGGCCCGGCACAGCGCCCCGAACTCGTCCACACTCAGGCGGCCGTCTCTGCAACAGCCGTAGATGCCGTCAAATGCCATCAGCGCCAGCATTCGCTGCTACAATAAAAGGCCAAACCTTTACGGAGCTATTCTGACGCAAACTTTGCAAAGCTGTTAAAACGCAAGGAAAAATCGCCACGCTGAAACAGACACCATACGAATCGCACGAGTACTTTCTACATATTTGACCTGTTCAATAACAGGCAGCAAATTCTGATTCCGTTAGAAGTTTTCCAAACCAAGCAAATCTAGGACATCCAGATAAGCTGTGCTGCATGATTGTTGTTGCTGTTGGGGCTTTACAACGCATCGAGCTGCTGGGGTTATATGGCGTCGCCTGCCTCTAACCCTGATAGGAAGGGCGGGCACCGCGGGGAATCGAATCCCGTACCTCTGGTTTCCCAGACACGCAGCGTTTAACACAGACGCGTTACCAATCACGCTACCGGCACCCTTGTACTCCGTAGTTCTGCCATATGTTCCCCTTATACGAAATGCCGGTTCAGCGGACTGGACCTGCTTGTTGTATTTACACAGACACACCAATGAATTATCACAACATACCAAAATGACGCTTCTAGAACGGAGGGATTCACATATATCAGTGACACATGCTGCAACTTCCACTAACTGGACTATAGACTTTTCGTGCACGTCAAATCCTTCACGCTGGCAGTAGCTTTTCGGGAGGAAATATTTCGTTTGCTACTTCGTTATTAAGTGCACCAAAAGCATGACTGGTGTTTCTGAATTCCACCTCGCTCTATTAAGCGCGCTTCCTTCGCCAAACGAACGACACGTAATGAGGCGCTTACAGCAAACAAGTAACTGATGCAATGCCTCGTTACAACTCGCATCCAGCCACGACCCTGCCAAATGACGTCATGTCCAGCAGCGACGCCGTGCCCACCAACGTTCCTGCTGTCACACTGAACCCACGGTCCCGTACTGCCCTTCCTCCCACACGGGCATCCTCCCCTGTCAGCCCCAGCTCGCGTGGTCGGGGGTGGCCTGGCGAACCTGACTCGCGTGCTGCTACTCGACGCTGCCTCACCACTGGTCGCGGCCACGTCGGCGGAGAGGATCGCCCGGGACGCCCCGCCACCGGAGAGCCCGCGATGCCTGGAAGTCCGGGAGAGCCCCCGATGCATGGAAGTCCGGGAGAGCCCGCGATGCCGGGAAGTCCGGGAGAGCCCGAGCGGCCAGGCTTCCCGTGCTGAGTGTGTTACTCCAAGAGGCGAAGCTGTCACGGTCGGTGCTGGCACGACCAACCATGCACCGCAGCTCCGAGTAATGTCCGACAATGAGGTGACTTTCCCTGCACGAAAACTCAAAGACGTTGTTTCCCGAAAAAGGGGAGCACCCTCCATCATGGCTCGTCCACCACTGTACATCTGGTCCGAACAAACCCGCTCACGACACAATTACGATAGCTCATATATCTCTAGGAGAGGAAGCAGACACAAACGAACCAAGCCTCGGCGACGGTTTGTAGATAAGCTTGGCGCCTGCGCTGGCTGCACCGAGGTTCTAAGCGGAAGCTTTCAGTTACTGGGCATCTCGTGGAACACATTCTGATGATTGTCTGATGATGACATTCTAAACGGGGATGTAGTTTTGCGCTCACTCGGAGGGGCTCATCCTGCTCCAACTTTACCGTCAACTGCCCCTCCCAACCCCTACCCCACTTCAAAGGATGTGTGTGGGGAGGGGCGGGGAATGGGTAGAATAAGTTGACAAATGGCGAGGTAGCTCATTACTTTTACCTGCCCTCTTCCCCCGCCTGTCTTACAAAACTACGTCCCTGACCCTTAGCGTTATCCCCAGCCCTCTCCCTCTTCCCCCGCCCGTTTTACAAGACTACGTCCCTGGCCCTTAGCGTTATCCCCCGCCCTCTTCCTCTTCCCCCGCCTGTTTTACAAGACTACGTCCCAGACCCTTAGCGTTATCCCCAGCCCTCTTCCTCTTCCCCTGCCTGTTTTACAAGACTACGTCCCTGACCCTTGGCGTTATCATCAAATTTATCAGAGTCCCATGGTCGGTTCTTAGTCTCCGAAAATGGTCGTTGTTTGTTTGCTGCCTTTATTGCGTAGCCCAGAACATGCTCCATGTGTTCGTAACATAATCTCTCGGACGTTTTCACGATTAAGTTGAACCGGTGTCGACAAAAATGCTTGAGCACGAGAGCTTACGATGGAAATTAAACGCATTTTGAGACATCCCGTTACTGAAAGATGTTGACATGTGTCCTACAGCGCGCTTCAAAGCAATGAAAGAAAAAGTTGAAGTTGCTCGCGTTTTTGTTCCAAAATGTTGCGCATTCCGCCGCTTCTGAGGTTTCACACATTACATGGCACCAGCAGCAGTTGGCTGCCGTTGAAGCGCATCGCTATCACCCGCTCAGGACGAGGAAGTGACCCGTATGCGGCGACCAGTACAATCAGGTACGCGCCAAAAACTCGCTGTGTTCAGGTGATACCAGCGCGCGCAGCAGCTTCTTTAAGGCACACACCTCCACACGTAGCAACAAAGCCGCTGTCCTACCGTAGGGCAGCCGCCGCCCCAGATAGGACTAAGTCCACAGCTAGCAGCAAAGCTACTGGCCGACCCCACACCCGGCCTCCGCCCCGTCATGTGCTGCTCGGAGCCGGCAGTGCACCCCGCGCGGCAGGGCTCGAACACACGTGCACTCTGGGCCTCGGACGCGGATGCGTTGGCACGCTACCGACCCAGGAGCAGCCACCGGCGGAACGCGTCTCCATAGCTGAGGAAGCGCGCCTGTCACAGCCGTCAATGGCTCATGAGAACCGGATCAGAACACGGCTCGAACCCCACATGATCTGGAAATACGGCGCCTCGGGATGCAGTGGGAAAGACTGATGTCCGCGCTGGACATTTACGGCCGTCACGTCCGTGATGTCTGTACATTAGTGCCTCACACGAGCCAGCGACATGACGTGATGGACCCAACCCAGCCTCACATCAGACAAAACTATTCACCTTCTGCGAACCATATTTTAGCGCATTTAAACGGAGATGGGCCATAAAATTCCAAATGACAAGGTCCCGCAGGCCCAGAAATACCCATGGGTGACAAATCAAACGTGTCCGAGAGCAATGCGAGCACTTTATGGAAGTCTGAGGGCAGCTCTTGGCACATAATTGGTATTGATGACAACGCAGAGGCGAACAGCAGCACCAAGACGATCAGCGCACATCCACACTGATCCAGCGCGATGCAAAACGTCGAGTGTCCCAGCGATCAGGAAGGTGCGCGGGGGTCAGGTATGTCCGCGGGGGTCACATAGGTCCGAGGGGTCAGGTAGGTCTGAGTAGCTCCGAACTTCCCGTAATTAACGGGCGACGTGAGATGGACATTAAGTCTATGTAGGTAAAACGATGACCTAAAACAAGCTCGAACTATTGCTGCGACCCACCCATTGATTTTTGATTAGTGCCTGCTACGACCTGTTCCTGGTAGTCTTGTTCAAGTTCCTCTTTCTCTCTCCAACGATGGAAGCACCGAGTCTATACGATACTTGTACGTGCCAGGGCCGGAGGGGCGTGCCCAGCGGTATCACTCCAGCGTTTTGGCGCCACGGAAATGAGGCGCCCCGCCGCGGCGTTCCTTCGAGGAAGAGCCGCGAAACAGGAAATGACACGTCCAGACAAGCGTATCAATTGCCAGGGTGCGCCGAGGACCTGAGAGTTTTCCAAGATTGCCGTCGAGTGCCGATTACCATTGCAGAACCTTAGACTCTGAGCGTTTGATAACAGACTCAGATGTTTATGATCTTGTCTGCTTCACCAAAGGTTTTATTTGCACTCTTGTTTGTTCATGCTACCGGAAAGGACACATATTCACATCACACACCTATTTCCACACATATTTCTACACGTATTTAATAACCCATACGTATTTTGCTGAATTTGGCTGCTAGAAAGTAGCAAAAACAAATAACCATAGCCACACACTTAGTTGCAACATGCAATGAGCCAATTGTAAGTCATAGTGACGTCACGTGAATTGTTAGCAAATTGGAGACACACACACACACACACACACACACACACACACACACACACACACACACACACACACACACACACACACACACACACACACACACACACACACACCTTGTTGACAGCGGACCAGTCCCCCAGAATAAGACTGCAAGCAGGCCGCGTGACAAGTGAACGTTAGCTGGATGCCATGACTGCATCACGTCCGGTGGGCTTTCTTGTAAAGTGTTTGAAACCAATATTGACCGTGCACCGGGTCCCGTTGTCCATAGGCTGTATCTCACCTGTCTACGTCGAATGCCTTAAGGCACGCGTCCATGCCATCTTGCAGCGCCAGATTCTCGTCCGATCGGTGGAAGAAATCGTCCTTTTCCGCCCCCTCCATCGTCGCTGTGCCCTGCGCGACACCGACCGTGCCCCCAGCTGGCGTGAGTCACCACACTCCACGCTCGCCGCCCAGCGCCGTCTGCGGGCATGCGCAAACCCCACGCGCGGCGCTCACACGGACCGACAGCGCTGCAGGTAAGGTGCTCGAGCAAGACCGGACAACAGCGGCACCTATGATCGGCGATTGAGACGCGAGCCACGACAAGTCGGTCACTAGATGACAGCACGGAGCGGCCAGCTATATCGATTGCGGGCGTGGACGGCGCCGCGCCGGTGCCGGGCCCGACGCGACCCGGCCGTCGGGCCGCAATCAATACACAGGCGGGCGACGGGCACAGGTGGCTCACTCGCGGCGCGGCGGAGCGGGCGACATGTGCCCAGCAGGTCAGTCTGGGGTGTGGCAGGTCGGCCGGGACCGGGGCAGCGCTGGCGACACAGAGCACACGGCAGAACCGGGCCACCCGCGCCCTGCGTTAAGGCATCGGTGCCGGCCTAAGGCCAACACCCGCCCTCTCCAAAGCGTTTGTTGACGGCGAGTGTGTGGACCATAATGTTTCCACAAATGATTGTCAGGCATGCATTCTCATTTGTTGAAGTTTATCCTTCAGCGCCTTGTGGCAGTTTCTATAGCAAGGTGAAGCGATTTCAAGCTTTTCCTGGGCGTTGTGAACCTGTGTACACCTGGCAAACAATCGCATTGATCACGCTTGAGAGCAAATCGATAGAGACCCCAAAAAGTTGGGGGATTTTTCTATGCACGCACAACTTACAATGCCGTATTGCGATATTGCTATGTTCCCGTATTACAACGCAAACTCGGTAACACAAGGTGTTTGCGTGACTTGCACACTGTGCTTGTTTTGTTTCGAGGAAATGGAGCATGACGTAGCTACATTTTCTGCGTGTTCCGCCAGTCCCAATGTTCCATTTTCGCTGACATATGTGCCTTATGTCTGCGGAAAGTACTGATGTCCAGACAACACGGTGCAGTTATTTGATGGACAAGGTCGCCTGCTCCCTCCCTCCGAATCAAGTCCTGCGAACTGTTTCCATGGCCCGCTCGTCTGCCCATATAGGTACCATAAGTATCAGTGCCGTGCATGAGATTTCCCTGCTCGGCGTAGACTGCTGACTTGTCATGTTTGCGTCGGACTTAAGTAACAGACCCGGCTACAGCTATGTAGCGAAGGGCGATGCACCCGGCCAGCAATGTGCTTTCGTGAGGTACGGTGAGAAACGATCAAAACAGCATTAGGCACCAGCTTAAGTACCGGTTTCATCAACCTCGAATTTCGAGCGCCTTAATTTACCGACGTCTGGTTTCTGACTGTTCGTCGAGGTACGATTTATAGCAGAAAGGTTATCTTGCATGATGAATACACTGTAAGCCTGATCTAGTGAATTTTACTTTTTGTACAAGGCACGTCTCAACTACCTTGTGTGGGGCCGAGAGGCCTCGGACCCTGCGGCCCCACGGCCCAGCGGTCCGCGTTTGTACCGCGATCCCATGGTCTAACAGCCCGCGCTGTCGCTACGGCCCCGCGGCCCAGCGACACGTGCTGTCGCTGCGGCCCTACGACCCAGCGGTCCGCGCTGTCGCTACGGCCCAACGGCCCAGCGGCCCGCGTTCTCACCGCGATCCCACGGCCCAGCGGCACGTGCTGTCGCTGCGGCCCTACGGCCCAGCAGCCTGCGCTGTCGCTGCGGCCCAACGGCCCAGCGGCGCGTGCCGGCCTCACCGCCCACGGCCCAGCGGCCCGCGCTGTTGCTACGGCCCCACGGCCCAGCGACACGTACCGTCGCTGCGGCCCTACGGCCCAGCGGCACGTGCTGTCGCTGCGGCCCTACGGCCCAGCGGCCCGCGCTGTCGCTGCGGCCCAACGGCCCAGCGGAGCGTGCCGGCCTCACCGCCCACGGCGCAGCGACACGTGCTGTCACTGCGACATCACGGCGCAGCGGCACGTGCTGTCAGTGCAAGCGCACGGCGCAGCGGCACGTGCTGTTACTGTGGCCGAGTGAGGAGCACCCAGACCCCTTGCACTAACGCGGCACGCTTTAATAATTGACACCTAGTACAACGTGAGCCTGCTGGGTTTTGTTTAAAGCATGCAGAAGATTTGCGTTTGGCGTACCTGTCCGCTGGAGCATGCGGAAGATTCGCGTTTGGCGTACCTGTCCGCTAGAGCAGGCGGAAGATTCGCGTTTGGCGTACCTGTCCGCTGGAGCAGGCGGAAGATTCGCGTTTGGCGTACCTGTCCGCTGGAGCAGGCGGAAGATTCGCGTTTGGCGTACCTGTCCGCTGGAGCAGGCGGAAGACTTGCGTTTGGCGTACCTGTCCGCAGCAGTCCTGCAGAAGATCGGCTGCCTCGCGGTAGATACCTGAGATCGAAATGTCAACCACGTCGGTCGAAATCATCGTGCAGATGTGCAGAAGTATTGCATGTTTGCCCTCGATCGCTGGGAGGCTCTGTTTTAAGGCTTGCTTTAGGTAACGGGACATTTTTTTATTGTCTGTGTATGGTGTAAGCAGAATGCGGCGATGAAATCGGGTTCACCAAGAAAACATTGCACGCCCATCATGATGGCGTGCTATGAAGGCCACTAAGCGACCGGATCCATTTCATCATTTGTCATCCATTGTGTCGTGCTGCTAATGGTGACAGAAACGTGAAGCCGTGTGTGCAGTCCAAACACCACGGCTGTCAGTGGGATTTGACACGGACGTTTAATTTAGCTGCTTTGTGCCATCAGCGTCCATGCTGGGTCATTCCTGAGTCGTGCTGTCTACCCGAACATGGCAAGTGATTTCTTTGTGTGACGTTTCGTGGTAAGCATTTCCCAGGGTCAGTTAGTCGAATCAATTCGCAGTGTTCAGCCCCGGTTGATGCCCGAGTGTCAGGAGCGAATGGCCTATTTCCGGAGGAAATCTCAAGTCTGGCCTATTTTCGGAGAGCATCTCAAGTCTGGCTTATTTCGGGAAGTCCTGACCGAACCCTGAAGCGACGCTCGTGGTCGTTGGAGTCAGAGTAAAGGGGTCTGATGGGGATATCAGACCGGTTTCCGGTCTAGACCGGCCGGCCGTCACGCGTTCCGCCGGGCCCAATCCAGGACGGTCCATTACATGCCACCCACGCCCATCCACCATTTTCGGCCCATCATTCAATCGACTGCAATCATAAGTCGAAACTTCACAACAGCCATGCCTTTCCGACTTCCATGACATTTCCCAATTCCGTCCAGAGATTCGGGGAACATGACATGATCTCGAGCAATGCCGCCCAAACGAAATCAGGCAGCCAGCCGCCATGACACGGAGCGAAACCGCTGTTTCGTTGGCAACACCATCAGCGACTTGCACCCTCGGCGAAGGTGGGCTCGCTCAGGCTAGTGTCGTGCGCCGTGATAGCGAGCGCTGCGCCATTCACGCCACGTGCCCGGCATGACGCCCTGACGACGGTGCTGGCGAAACGGACACTGCGTTCTGCGAAATCACGTGATGTGGAAAGCTGCTGCCTGACGAAGGCTCTGAGGGGACGACCGCTTATAAAAGCCATATGGAAACATGGCAGGAATAACATGCGGGTGCTTGCACCGTTGTTGGCCGCTCATCGTTAAACCGCTGTACATTGTCTTCACCACATGATGCGAGGAGCCCATGTAAAAATCGGATAATGTCTGGATTTGAAGAACGGACGGTGTTGACCGATCGATATCATGATCTCTGTTCGTGACCAAGACCCGCCACGAAATGTATTAAAGCTGAGCACGGATCCTGGGTCCAACTCCTGCAAGATACGGCGATCAATGTGGTATGCAATAGGAAGATATCCGTTGCAATATCAACGAAACCCGGCGTGCATTATTTGCCAGCGCGGCGGACTCCCGCATGAAAATAGCGTCGAAAGATTGAGCCCGCTTTGGATTGCTCCCCCGCCACCGCTTAGACCCGAGCGGCGCAATCACAGCTTGTTGCGGCCCTCCGAAGGCCTCCTCGGCCGAATGGCAGCCGCGCTGACCCCTTCTAACGCCGTCCGCGAGGCAGCCACGAGACTGTGGGCAGCCCCCGCCGGGCCGGGTGACACTGGCATCCCCGTTCACTGGGGTGCGTGTCCGCCGCGTGTGGCCCCTGGATCCGATGCCGGCAGGCGCTGCGTCTCTGGGGCCACGCCATTTCTGCGCTTTGCTGCAGCTGGAGCAAGCATTGAATTCGGTGCATCACAGCGTAGTCACATGCGAACGCCTTTGTTTGATTTCCCGATGTAGATGTCGAGTGCCATAAGGCACCAGTAGTGATGTTTGAAGAAGAGGTGCTCGCCCGAGAAGGGCTTCTTCTTCTCACATGGGGTTTCCTGCCACTCAAGTTTGCTATCTATGACGTCACCATCCGCTAGTGCCTTCGTGCTACTTTTCACCTCATCAGCTTCGTATACTTTATTTCGTTATTTCGTCAAGTTACAAGACAGTCTTTTTTGTCCCGCATTCCACATATTGACGGAATAGCCGTTGCCTGTAGTAATACTCCCTCAGGGGTTCTCTTCAGGGTAAAATCCTGAGGACTCGGTTCAATTCACAATGCTTCAAAGTTTGTGTCTTAGGGGCGGTTCATGGGAAACTTCACTAGACATTATCCCAGGCCACAGCATTGCAGCCGAAGACAGCTGTTCAAAAGGTGGAGTCTGAAGTGAATCTACAAGAAGTGGCAACACAAAGTGGTCAAAAACATCGACCGAAAGAACTCACTGTTATTGTAAGCTTAGGAACATGCAATACACATGAGAAGAAACATGGGCTACCATAGGAATGTTCCACTCGGGTGGAATATTTTCGGGCTGGGAGCTGCGTTGTGAATCGTTGTTTGCTCATTCCAGCGAAATCAATTTCATTTGATGGAATGAACTTGCACTTGAATGGACACCCACGCGCACCGGGTTGGAAGTCTCCCTCCACGTGACCATCCGCCCTTCCGCGCCCGCAGTCCGGCGCACAGGCCCGTGACGTCACCGCTCCTGTGACGTCACCGCGCGGCGATGGCAACCGAGCGGCGGCCGATCTGCCCGCGCCTCATCG